GTTTGTTTTAATTTCCTAAGACCACTCAGCGGCTGGGGCTGAGCCCCTCTTTCGGTATTATTCGATGTCAATTACTGCGCTTTCGCTGCTGGTACTATTTTCGAATTTTGAGTTGTCCTCTTATTATACCTAATCTTATTATGCTCTAGCGATATCCTGTAGACAAGATCCATTGCCAGGTGGGTTAGCCTCGTCTACAAGGTCCTGCAGCGTGCAAGCGCAAAGCCAACGAGTTGGATTCGGGCGGTTCGTTGGAACGCGCCACCAGGCGCCCAGCGCCCGGGCCTCCACCTCTCTTTGTGGGGAGGTTTTTTGGAGGTGCTATTTTAAGGGTGACCCTTGGGTGGGTGCCTTGGGGATCACCTGGGTTGGGGCTACCTACAGTTTGCACCAGGGGTGGGTATCCCTATGATGAGTTAATGGGTGAGTTCTCCAAAAGCTTAGTTCCCTTGGGGTGAGTTCCATGATTGGAAATTGTTAGTGGGGAATCCTTGGTTGTGTATCCTGTGTGGGGGAATTGTTAGTGGGGAGTCCTGGGGATATTTGGGGGAGGGAAATCTTGGGGGAATCAAAGCAATGCTATTTTTCATTTATCTCTTAAAACCTAAAAATGTTCCTGATATTTGTATTTCAGTTTAAAAGTGATGCAATATAGAAAGTATTTTGATTCATCCTAATAACTTTCATGTGGCGTCTATTTCATGCAATGAATAAAGTGTGAAACAGACCAGTCACCACATCCCACGTTTATGTTTAGGACCTTCACCTTGCATGTCCATGTCAGGATTCTAAAGCCATTAGACTGGCCAATATTTGCACAGTTTATTGAATTCACTATAATTTTATTCAGTACTGAAACATGAACATTTCCAAAAATTAATGTGCAATGGGAGAATACGTAATAATTGTTAAGGATTATTTATTAAAAAATTGAAAATACTTTTATTTGCAGGATTTGTCAATATTCTCATATACCAATTTTCACTCTGAAAATTTTCACTTTCTTAAGTTCTTATTATCAGTAATACCAACACAGCAAATATATGTATTAATACTTGTGAGGTGTGAGAGACGCTAAAACCACTTAAATATAGGGTCATCCAATGATATATACGAGAGCTGGTTATAATGTCAGTAAATATGAATACAATCGTCTTCTGGCTTGACGCATTGCATACTCTCATAGAAATTGACAGACGTTTCAGAGGTGCTCACTGCCTCCATCATCGAGGTAACGCTACACAAAAAACACTGAGACAGTGAGCTGGGACTCGAACCCCTTCCACTACTCGACAGTTTTGATTTCGTCTAGGCAGAAAGTGTGAAAGATGGAGGGACCCTTAAGGGATCTTTGCTTTCAAACTCCATCCACTTATAGCATTTCCTGGTCGTATCAGTGCTGGGTTAGCTACACCAAAAATTTGGCTAACCCACGTTCTCAATGGCGAGCAGTACAACAGCTTTCTACTCCTCATGGCCGCGTTGCAGTCACATGTAAATTACGAGTAGTGATATACGATCACTGTTGGAAAGCAAGAGCATAGACTCAAATTGTCAAGTCTGAAGATAACAAATTATATTATGCCCTTTAACTTTAGTATAATGGCACGCTGTTACGAGGACAGTCGTGAGGAATGAGGGTTAAAAGTAGACGTGAAGCTACTGTCTTGAAAATGTAATTTATGTTATAATTATCATGGGTTTCCTAAGTGCTGTGTCCTGTGGTGGCAAGGGCAGATCGAAGGACCGTGCACTTATGTAACACCTGATGGAAAGTGCAACGGAAAAGTACCAGAAAGTTTTATTGTTTATGGTTTATTTTACTACGCTGTCAGCAGCTCGGACTGTACAGCAACGGATAAAAGGATAATTAATCAGTTATAATGGTTATGAATGGAAGTGGACGTGGCCTAATTAAAGGTATTCTCTGAGAAAAACAACGAATACTTTAGTCAAGCAGGAGTTTTGTCCATTCGGCAGTGATGTTTGCTAAAAATATTAAAATATTTAATCATTCTGACATGGTGAAAAGGTGTAAGCGAACACAATATTAATTTAAGCTTACGTATCTGAAAAGCGACGCGAATTCATAATTTCAAATTTCTTATTTTGAAAACAACAAAATAAGCCAAGATCTAAGTCAGAAACAATGAAAATACCATATAATGCCGAAGTTTATCCAAACATTATTCAAAAGTCACAGCGGTACCTGAAGAAAACAACACTCCATCATTGCGAAGATTAATTGGTTTATATGATTTAAGAAAATAATTGCTGTTTAATATGAGAAACGCGTGAATCCGATAAATACAACTTGTGTGTTAAAATCCAGAGTTATTAAACGAGGTGGTACATATAGTTGCCAGTGGGCCATAGAAGAGTAATGAGACTTACGCCATCCTGTACCAAGGGCCAGTAATACAGCGAGTTTCTTTTGCGAGCGTGGGCTCTGGGGGAAGATTCTCACGCTTGTCCCGTCGTGTCGGCCAGACCCATAAATGACACACTTGTTCGCTTCACGGTTGCGCTGTCTAGAAAACAGTATTCGAGAAAAAAAACTATTCCTTCTTTCCATACACTTTTCTATGATTATAGCTAAGGGTAGAAATGCTTGCACTTCACTTATGTTGTCCCATCATACATTCGGCGGAGTTTCTGGACAAGAACTCGCTCCACCACAGGACAACAACGAAAAATGCTCGCACATTTTCAAACATGAGTGGGACTTGAATTTTCAATACCGACCACAGTAGCCGATGATCTTAGGTGTGACATTTTACCGCTTGGATAGTAGGATCACGGGTTCGAATCCCAGCTAAGGCATGGATGTTTATCATCGTCTTTCATTGTTCTGCTATCCTGTACAGACAAAGCTGGTGTGTACTAAGCAAAATACCATGCATTTTAAAGACCTACTAAGTATGAAATTACGCGAACGTAATATACTACTTGGCCAAATCAATCAACTGTAAAGATGGCTGTCTTCTGGGTTGCAGCGGCGTAGTCTAGAAGAAGTCTACAGTTTCAGAGATCGCTGCTGCCTCCATCATCAGCCCTGATGAAGGAGGTAGAAAGCAATCTGAATCGTCGGTAAACTTCTACCACACTACACGGTGCAAAATCTCAGAAGACAACGATCTTCATATTCACCGTCGTGAAAGCCTCAGATCTACAAATTATACACATTATCAGATTCTTGTGAATACGGTAATTAACATTCAAGTTCCACAAAAGCGGAGAATCGTCTGACTAAATGAGCGAATATTACTTTCTCAAGGATAATTTTGCACCATGGAGTCAGTTTAATTAATCGAGCTCAGAAATGTGAGATCATCAGCTGACTAAGGAAGGCATCTTCTGAATGCTCTGTTGAAATGCAAGTGGATCACAAAAATACGAATAATTGAAACTTTTATTTAATGACAAGAGAAACTTAGCTCTTTATGTTTTAACTTAGCATAATTAAATTGTGACGCTTTTAATGAGTTCTGGATGTAACACTGATCGAAACGAGATCATACCAAGTTTCTGTCTGGTAAAGCACATTGGAAAAAGATTGTATAATAGACCAAATCACACATGGGGGAATTTCGTAAAAATTCTGAGACACACATTGACATTCTTTCTTTATGTTACAAGTACAGTGCTGTGCTGTTGAAGACCTAAGCGACTTCCTCGAAACGTAAATAGCGATACTGTATATTTCTTGGCGTGGAAGTCAGACGTCAAAATAATTTTTCCAGATAACCTAGAAGGAATTACCCATGCTTTTTTCTGGTATAAATGGCTCTATAGGGGGTATTCCTTTCGGGGAAAGGACGTGTAAGTAAACAACGTGATAGTTCCTTGCTTGAATTCCATAAAAGCGTCAACCACTCTTACCTAAATCACCACTTGGATTTGCGAAGCATGGAGCGACACACTGCCTTCACTGCACTGTAAGTATAATGGAAGAAATGGACGCGTGTATTTCGTAATTTTAACTTAGGATTCGTACTAATAGCCTCTCAAGAACACTAGTACATGGGCTTAACTTTAGCTTTTCTGCTAGGCTGAACACAATGGTCCGTGTTAAGATGAATAAGGAAATTCTCCCTAATTTCGCGGGGTAGAACTAGTCCTATCTTTCAGCATTCTACAGAACACAGGCTAAGGGTGGGAGAGAACTGGGTTCTGAGGAAAATATTTAAACCCAAAGATGATGATGTGGCTGGAGGGTTAAGAAACTTCATATAAATAGTTCGGTAAAATGTATTCATTATCAAATATTATTAAGGGGTAAAATTAAAGGACGAGATAGGCAGGACATATGGAGCGAATGTGGAAAATGACAAATACATATAAGCGTTTGGTTAGAAAGGCTGAAGGTAAAAACCTACTCGCAAGAAGTAGGCGTTGATGGGAGGATAATATTAAAACAGATCTTAGGAAACAGATTGGGAGACAGTGGATTGGATTCTGCTGGCCCAGGCTCTTGTAAACGCGGTAATAAACGTTCTAGTTCCATAAACGACGGAAAATTTCTCGGCTAGCTAGGGGACTATCAGATTAAGTAAAGTGGTTAGGTTGAATTTTGAAGCCGGCACAGGCTTTTAGCTGCCTAATCCATAAAGTCAAGTAGAAAATACCGATATCCTTAATTGCAAAAGAAGACAAACAGACGACGTAAAGTCTCATGCAGCTACTTGATAAGGACCCCAAAAAAGTTTATTCTAAAATAGTTTCATAACAGCCTTAACGTCACTCAGTCCATTTTGTGTTCCATCTGCAGACGTGCATTGCTTCTCAGCGTTTTGCTAGTTCCTGATGCCAGCTGTTTGGGCAACTATACGAGGCGACTGGAAGTCTACGTAAATTCGTTTTCTTGCAAGACAGACTGCATCTGCTCTACACTAGAGGCACCGACCCTTGCAAATGCCTGTGGCTTCTCGAAGCAACCCTTCTTCATGACTACAGTAGAGAGACTACTGGAGAAGCAGTGCGACCTGGTGGACCCGCTTTCCTGCCCAGACACAGGCAATAAACTCGCTGATGAGGTAGTCCTATGTTTTGAATACTGAGATAGGGGGTTCGAATCCTGCGTGGGACACTGAAGACTGGGTTTACTGTGATGCAGAGGCATTATGAAAGGAGATATACATCACGAAGAAATAATTTAAATTTTCACAAGTAATTTAGACAGAAGCCAAACCGGCAATTTGGAAACACAATAAATTTATCTGTCCTAAGATCCAATCCATTAATTTAGTAATCACATTAAGTAGAATGAGATGGGCAGGGACATGCAGTACGCGTTGAAAAGATGCAGTTCGTATAGTTTGGTCTGAAGACGTGAAGAAAGATACTGCTTGTACGATCTAAGTGTAGATGCAAGGATAATATTAAAATTGATCTTACGAAATAGGCTATTGTGAAGACTGAGTTCGTCAGGATTAAGACAGGAGTAGCGAGGTCCTTTAATGTCAATTAACCCTGGGTTCCATTAAAGGCGTGGAGTTTATTTCCCACCTTAGCAGCGATAAGGAGGTGCTCATGGAGTATGCAAAATGGTGTTAGTAGATTATTTCGGACTGCGTCGATATTCTGTTTCGCAGGTCGTCGATTTTGTTGTTATTGGTGCCGGGACTGCTGGCTGCGTTATGGCAAACCGTCTCACCGAAAACGAGGATTGGAAAGTGGCGCTTCTAGAAGCTGGGGGGCCTGAACCCACCGGGACACAATACCCAGGCTCCTATTTCGCGTACTCTAAACCTCCACCGCAGTCGAAAATCAACTGGAACTTCGAGACTGAGCCCCAGGAGAATGCTTGTCTGGGCAGGCCGGGAAAAAGGTGCATGTGGCCTAGAGGTAAGTACTCTTACCACAAAAATTAAGTACAACCATTACTTGTGAACACTGGTAAGGAACTTGGTACTTAAGTAAATGCAGAGGATACTAAGTATATGTTTGTCTTGTCACCAGACTACAGGACAAAATCATAAAAACAAGGAATCTAATAAATCCCTTGAAATGTGGCAATGTTCAGGTGTTTAAGAACCACGATAAGTAATTAAAACTGCATTCAGAAGAATATTAAAATCAGACTAAATTGGTGGAATCCATGCTATCACGAACCTCAAAATCTTTCGTCTCCCCAGAAGAATACCATGATCCTTACCGCCGTGAAAAACTCACGATCTTACATACGTTTTTACGTGATAGATCAAGGATTAAAACCACAATATACAATAGATACAATTATAGTTTATAGTCAGGAGACGAGAAGACAGATTCTGAATTGATTGGCAACAAGGTTTCCCGGAATGTAATCTGCTCTTCATTCTGCAATTTTGATTGTTCTGAACTTTACTTATTACGAATGGACCTCAGAGTCACGTGTTCGTTCGTTCAGGGAAGGTGATGGGTGGGACTGGCGTCCTGAACGGGATGATGTTTATGCGCGGAAATCGAAGGGACTACGACAACTGGGCAGCAGCGGGAAACACTGGCTGGGACTACGAGTCAGTGTTTCCATACTTCCTGAAGTCGGAAGACAACCAGCAGATCGGTGACGTGTATAAGAAGGTACAGACAAATGATGCTCCATTCTTCAGAATAAGATAATCAAAGTGAAATACATATAAGACATTAATAACACTGACGTAAAGCATAAATTAATTAAGTCTGACTAAGGGTATGCGTATACACATATTGATGGCCATCGAGCCAAAATATCGTAAGGGGGGGATCTTACAATAACGTAGCTCAGGCTCGCAGATATTTTACTTCCGCTATTGACGAAGTTGAGTGTGATGTGCTAAACCGTTGAATTGATTTTAGTAATCCCTGTCCCTGAGAACTGAGACAGGAGGCTTCCTTCCATCTTTGACATTCCGTCTTTTGGTCTAAAACCAGGAATATCATGGCCAAGGCGGTTATCTTACGATAGGACAATTCAACGATCACCCTAAGATGGCAGACGATATAATGGAAGCAGCAGCAGAGCTCGGTTACCGTTCAAGGGTAGATCTGAACGGGGAGAGTCCCATCGGTTACACGATCGCTCAGGCAAACAACAGGGACGGCGCTAGGCTCAGCACCAACAAAGGTTTCATCAGTTCCATTCTGGACAGGCCTAATCTCTTTATCAGCATGAAATCTATGGTAAGTGGCCATTTTTAACATCATCACACTGTGAGTCATTTGTGATGACTGCATGAAGCAGGGGAGTGTAAAATACGAAGACAATTATGGGCCAATTTAAAGCTTCGATACCTATTAGTGTAAACTCACGTTCTATTACTTGTATTTAAATTATCTCGTAATTATGATTTGATTATCCTCGAGATATCTGTTACTGCTTGTCTTCCACCCCGTCATGAATGTTCTAATGGTGGAGAGCTCGTCTGCAATTTTACTTCATAATTATATTTCTCTCCGTCACCACCTGACAAATATTCAAAGAAAATATGTACTTTGCAATATGATTATTATTTCCAGGTAACCAAGATTGTTATTGACAAACGCACAAAGAAGGTAAAAGGCGTCCAATATTTTAAAGATGGGCGATACAGGATGATCCGTGTTATGAAGGAAGTTATTGTGAGCGCAGGAGCACTTCAGTCTCCGCAGATCCTCATGTTGTCCGGCATCGGACCAAAAAATCACCTAAAACATGTCGGTACGTGTGACAAATTCGGTTGATAAGGACGTGTTTCACAATTCGCCACTGATACTGAAGCCAATTTATACGTTTCCATTACATTCTAAGTTTATTCAAGTTCTAACTGCGAGAATCAAGAACCTTGTTTACTTTCTGTGGCGCCTGTATGAAGAAATATCATCTTTTGAAGTGGGTTTTATTCCTTTTATTGTTCGTATTTACTGAGGTACCTAAGTGTCCTTCACTATCGCTTCTTCCTGTTATGGTCCCATAAACCACTTTCGCCGTCATGTTAACGTGACCTTACCTAACTTTTTAACACTGATAATGTAAAGAGTGTAGAGTCGTAAAGGCTAATCCTCACCAAAAAATTCAAACACCTCAGATTAAAAACACACGATTTAAAACTTATTCTTCGCCATGTATTTTTTTAATTTTTGCCAAATAACCCGAGTTCTGATATAGCCCCTGACTTTTGGAACAGCTGTATATCCAGAGACCGACTAAAGTCGATATGTGATAAGAAAACAAAATTTAACTAACTTAAAGCTTTTATTCGACAGGTGTTCCTGTTATTCAAGACTTACCGTCGGTTGGAAGCAATCTCATGAACCATGTTTCATACAGTGTCAATTTTATCGTTCACAACTCCTCAAGCTTTGAAGATCTGAATATGGACACCTTGACGCAATACCTCAGCACGCGTAAGGGACCAATGTCGTCAACAGGCATGTCACAGGTACTGCCATCTTCGTTTTTACATTAAAATCTAAAAAAAATACATCGCATGACAGAATTACTGGACCACAGTAATAGACAAGTTGGAAAATGTACACATAGCGTAAAGATTCTGGCGTCTTCAGTCTATTTCCTGCACATTTTCAATTTGTAAATGTTACCTCTTTATGCGAGGACAGGAGAACGAACAATAACCTCCACAACAAAATGTTATCAAAATCAGTCCAGAAGTTCTCGAGTTATGAAATGAGAGCACAAAATTTTCCTCCGTTAACTCGAAAACCGTAAGATTAAAGACCGAACGTGAATGCCAACGGTTTCAATTGATGAAGGAAACAATGCACGTACACTGTAAATATTAACAATATAAAGCGAATCTAAGAGACGCCTGCTTGTGCATAATGCACGTCTCCTGTTGTCAAGGTGACCGGCCTGATCCGCTCGAAGTACGCTGAACCAGATCTCCAGGACATCCAAATGTTTTTCGAAGGATACTTGGGGAACTGTTCTGTGACTGGGGAAAACGACGAGCCGCTCCGAACAGGAACCAAACGCTCTGTGACTATCACCCCCGCACTTCTGGTGCCCAAGAGTCTAGGTTACGTGCGACTACGCGACAAATCGCCCTTCAGCCACCCTCTGTTTCATCTCAACTACCTCTCCCACCAGAGTGAAGTGGACGTTCTAGTGGACGGCGTCAGGTAAGATGCCTTGAGTTCCAGCTGAGGTTCTGGCTAAAGGTTCGTAAATAAATACATGGTTTAGGTCTGTTATTGTCATATGAAATTTTGAGGTTCTCACGGGGGTGAAGGTCAGTAGTGGCTAAGTGAGAGTTTAGGTTCTCATGGCGGCGAGTATGAAGGTGGTAGAAGTTTACCAACGTTTATGAGGTGTTTGTTGCCTCCATAATCAGGGTGATTTCTAGCAGACTACATGGCGCAACAACCCAGAAGACAGCAATTTTATACTCGCCGCTGTGATAGTCTAAAATTGGTCTTAAAATTATTTTTTCCTAACCAGGTGTGAAAGAATGTCAATTCAATTAAATGTTTTATGGAATAAAAATGATATGTAACAGTTACGGAATTGGTGACTTAATATTACATTCAGCAGAGAATAAAAGGAGTTAGCAGTTTTCTTTATGGATTTATATAAAATTCTTCTTTATCCCCTATAAAGGAAGGCGATCCAGTTGTCAGAAACAAAGGCTTTGAAGGAGTACCAGCTGGAATTAGACAGAACACCTGTTAAGGGCTGCGAGAAGTTCAAATTCAACACTGATTCGTACTGGGCATGTGCCATTAGGACCATGACTAATGCCGAAAACCACCAGGCCGGGACGTGCACCATGGGACCATCTCCAAATAAAGCTGTGGTTGACAGCACGCTCAAGGTTCATGGTATCAAGGGCCTTCGTGTTATAGATGCTTCGATCATGCCGAACGTAACTCGAGGCAATATCAATGCTCCCATTATTATGATCGCAGAGAAAGGATCAGACTTAATAAAGGCTGACTGGAAATAATGAATTGCTAAGCCTGCTCATGAAAGAAATATTTCGGCTTGTGCCGAACTGGTGCAATATTTCAGTAAACATTTGTACTTTAGACTCTCTTTTTCCAACCTTATCAATTTCAAGATGTGTTTACTTCAAACTGGCTGTGAGAACAATAAAATAAGTCATGAATACAAAAACAAAACATGGTATTGTTAAGATGTCTTCATACCTTCCCTATAAGTTACACCAAATGTACAAGCAAGTGGTGCTAAAATCCCAAGTATAGTTGTCAATACAATAAACATCTTTAGATATGTGATGCAGCAACTGAACAATTCGTGTGGTAACTAATGGTGAAAAACAAAACTGTTAATAAACCAATATAAATAACACATATCCTTATAGAGAGTTATGATTAAATATACAGAATTAATTAACTAAAACTAAACTAATGTCGGATGAACGATTACAAGTTTATGAACGAAAGTAGAAGTTATGTATATGAGCTTCGTCGCCCAGTACTGCAACAAGACTTTCAACTGTATTTATTGTGATGCAGCATTTCAGGGGGTCTGTCATAAACTTCTGATTGGTGGAGAGATGAAACAACAGTAGGTTGTCTGAGGAAAGTTACACATTGTCCTGCATTGTGTCAGTTCAGTTTATTCTACAACCTTACACTATTTCTCTAGATAAAATTTAATAATGCCCCCCCCCCCAACAATTTATGCATAATTATCCTAAGTGGTCTCTTCGCTTGACATTTTCTGGCCAAGACTTATACCAGACTTCATGGCACAACATAATTCCAGAAGACAGTCATTTTCAAGAAACATTGTGTTTTGTCACTGGTGGGCTGCAAATGTGACATGCTCATGTACACCTGAATATCATCAGTGAAGACTCCTAATCTGCAATTTCTTCAAATATGTAGCAGACAACCATGACCTTGCCCTAATTCATACACTGGGATTTGTTTTCAGGAAAGGTAGAAGTTAAAACCAAAAATTAAAACAAGAGGTGAATAACAATAAACACTATAAATATTAACACGACTGTATATACTATTTACATTATTGTTTTAGTAAACTGTTCTCATGTAGTAATAGGAACAAGTTAACATCTATATGACCATTAGATTAAACTTACAAAAGACAATGTAAATGGCACCATCACATATTCCACGTATGAACTGCAAGTCTGCAGATATTATGGAGTGAATATCAAAGTTTTCTGGTTTGTTTTTAAACAACAACACTGGACTCTTGACAGTAACATTTCAGTGCAGTCAACATAACCCCATTCCTTAGAAGAAAGTTACATGTAACCAAACCTGTATGAATGATCATCATAAAAATAATTATTGAAAGTGGCAAATTGCTTTGTGGGAACTTTGAAAGATTCAAAATACATCTCTTACAGCAAGGCTACTTTATACAGACAATAGGCTAACATGAAACTCAATGCTGAAAAATCTTTTTATTATCTTATTTAACATTGCTGATTATGAAAATGACAACAAAACGTGTTCCGGAAGTTGGTACAAGGCTGGTAGTTGAAGAAATTCATAAGGAAAACAGACACATTTAATTTAATATTTTCCCAAATATGGTTTCACTACAGCTTGGGTGACATCTAATATGAATTATGTTTGCTTCGTCTCTTGTGTATTATGTTTTGGAAATACCTGAACATTATGCATACTGCAGTAAGTACTCGGTTATGTACAAGGTAGGTGAAAAATATACCTCATTTTTTAAATGTTTATTTTACTTTCATCACAGCCAAATTGCACCATATTGGAGAAACACATACTAGTTTACAATACACAAAATAGTTGTGAAAATTATGTTTAATCAATGTTACACAATACTGACCTGAATTGTTTTTTTTCTAATTCAATCCACATGTTTCTTGGATTCTGTGTAACAACAATTTAGAAAAGTGCTTTCAATAACTTTAACTACTTCTTTCCAAACAATTTCTAAAATCTATCCAGTTCCTACAAAACAGTTTGGAACTCACTTCTAGCTATAAATGCTGCTCTGTGACAGGAGCCCTGAACTGATAAATTGTTATGCTGTGCCTCAATATTTTACATCAAATATACATTAAATACATACATTGAGTGAAAAAAACAAATACAAAATTTAATATATGTCTTTATACTTGCAGATTCATCTATGAAATAGGACCTTCACAATAAAAATTTAATCAACTTTTAAATATATGACTTTTGAATTGTCTATATTGCTAATTTGCTTTCTTTTGAAGAAAATACTGTACATTTCATTTCAAACTACCAATTTTTATAGTTCATAGTTACATTGTGCTGCAGCATACTGTATGTACTATATTATAATATGAACCAAGCTGCCCATCATATTCAACTTGCTGCCATATCAGAAATTATCATCACATCAACCCATATTACAGATGCAAAGAATGGATCTGTTGATGAGCATTAAATATTCCTCAAAATCACTGTCACTCTACTGACCTTTCTATAAACTGACTGACACGCAGTACTCACAAATGTAGGTGATCCATAACTGACATCATACAGAAATAAAATATTAGATCATTCTCTCAATATAAATAATAACAGGATACTATATACTACTTTCATGTAACATGTACGCTATATACTTGTTATGAGTTTTCTTGGTATATGAAATTCTTAAAATGTGTTACCAGAAAGTAGGTTATAATCTACAAACATTATTGTTGTTGTTTTTTATAGCTTTAAAGTAATTTATAGAATTGGATTGCAGTTCAATCAGATTGAGCTATAAAATGTTGAAATATTATTTTTATGACTTCTTTAATTTTCTTCAAAAATGTTAATAACCTACAATAATACAGACCTGTTATTTGTATTTGCTAGTTTCATATGTAATATAGTGGTGTGGCAGCACTGCTGATACATCCTGACAGTCAAAAATGAAATGTAAAATCTTCCACAGAATAAAATAAAAGCCCATTCTGAGATAAGGTAAAGCTATATTAAAACTATTATTAACACATTGAAAATAAAACTTGAATTCTATCCTTTATTAAAAAACATGTTTTCCACTGTAATACAATTTGGAATTATGGAATGAAGCTGCAGTGATGCCTATTCATAAACAAAGAGCATATAAACACAAAAAATGGCTCAGAAGTTTTGTAGGCCAAGGCTAAACAAAGGATTTGTAAGAGATAATGTGTTTTTGTCACAATATTACTTTCTTTACTTTAATTTTTTTAACACAGGGGCTATGTCTTCAATGTGTGCTGCACTGAGTTCCAACAGCAGGAAAATATTGGAAATACAAAAACAATTCTTCAATGTTAAAATAAATATAATAATGCTAGTGGATGACTGGGTGACTAATTTGGTGACAAATGAGAGAGTGCATGAGAAAATAAAATAACAAAACAAAACACGCAGTTCTGCAGGAAATGTAATTCTATGGAAGACATATACATTTAATTTTACATGCACTTTCTCTGGAAAGAAATTCATAGTGTCCATATGAAGCTTTAAAGGTGTGTAAGTAAATATATATTTTGGAGTTTGCTTACAGTTGAAGTTATAACAATTATGAGAGATATAAACTGTGTTAGATTAAACACATTTACTGTGCAATTATAAAATTAATAAATATACATAACATTAACCATTTGTAGGTTGTGTTCATAATAATTCATCACATTCTTTGACAATTAGTTCTTATGTTCACATGGTTTGTCACTTTATAGGGGTGTAATTCAGTGTCCATATTTATCATTATCATTCAAATATTCTAATACTGAAACACATTTAATTATTCCTAAAGATTCATTTAACCCCTTTCCAAACAACATCGTTATCTGAGATATGGTCAGCTGCTCTGTATGAAACTGCCATACCATATCTTCAAGATGATGGGACTTGCCACCATTTAAATATACCAGTAGGGGCATAAATGGTGTAATTTTTAGTCCTCAAAGGGTTTTAACTTCAATGGCTAACTATAGACAGTCTTAACATCGGGTTAATTTGTACCAGTTTATGAAATACCTCATTGTTTAAACTCCCCAGACTTGAAATATTTGAATACATAAAGACAATTCAAGTCTAATCTCAAATTCTGTTTCTCATGACAACATAGACTGGTGTCATTTTTATGCAGTTTCATGGCATGGAACAAGTAAGTACATGTAGCTGTAGACTACCTCAAGAAGACCGTCATACATGAAACAGGTAAGATAATTTACTGACACATCTCTGCATCAGTCACTCAGTGTCTTATACTTTTACTACAAGGCTTAGATTACAGGTTACATATCCTGCAGCTATCTTGAAGGTACCAACTTTTTAAAGCCTGGAAGATCCAACAATTTTTACAGAGGGCTTATATATTTTACTAAGCTGTCATACTAATTCCATGATGATGTCTTCAAACAAAATATGATTGTTTCATTCCTGATCATTCCAACGTGCAATCAGTAATTATTGATGAATCTCACACCAAACTGAGTAGCTGTGCAGCAATGCATGTAATTTTTATTTCAGAGTTTATCACTTGATTTCAATCAGTAGACTAGCTATCCAGATTAAGATTTCTCTTTATTTTTCTCAGTCTCTCTATGTGAAACTGGAATATCACCTCAAAATATGCCACCTGCTTCCTTCCAAGCCCCCACATTTCATCTAATGCTACATACAATTACCATAAATCACATTCAAGTAATATTAAATAATGCATACAATGGCGGCTCGTGAGTCCCAGCAGTGGTAGTGCTACACAAGGGGGAAAACAGAATAGTTTTACAACACATACCAATATAAATAAATGAAAAGTAAATTTGCATCAGGAGAAAACCCATACCTACTCGACGATGTTTTAACTATTTGTAAGTCCAGAAGAGGACGGCCATGAATTTTTACATCTCTTTCTTCAGTCGAAGACAATTGAGAAAAAGTAATTTGCTATAAATATGACACTTCCTTTGCTCACTGTCATTATCAGAACAACAAATAGTCAGCACACAGAATTATTAACAATAACATGAAGCAGACTGTGATACAGAAACCAGCCTAAATCACGTGACATCCTGCACAGGTCCTTACAACAAGCCGACTGCGTGGACTGCCCCTCACTCCACCAAACACCGCGCTACCAACGTGTGAAAAGCAAACTAAAGTGTTACAAATTATATTAACACAAAAAATAAATTTTTCAATTTTTGAAAAATTATAGGGGGTGCTGCAGCTCTGCAACTCTTATGGTCGGGCCGCCACTGAATGCATAACATTTTATGGAAAGACGGGTAGAGTTTTGTTATGATCATGATTTCTAAATGCTGTAAGAGAACAAAGGATGAAGGGTAAATGAGATAGATGTAAGCTTTCTTATTAATATTAATTTCATCAAGGGACCTCTTGAATGTAAAATGCGCCATCCACTGAGCTAATCTGATGTTTTACACTTGTTTCAAAATAATTCATAACAGTAGCAGTGCACAACATTCAGACTAACTGTAGAGTTACAGAGCCTCCAATCCAGTGGGTACCAGAGTTATTTTCTCAGGGGTATGGTGCAAACATAACTACTCGCCTCAGTTTAGTGCCAAGGGTAAAAGTGCATGGAGGTATACATAGACTGCTCCATTTGCCCACATGTCTGCATGGTGTGGTGCTTACTGAAGCACAAGGGACAATTTTGTGTTTTAATATATCTCTAAAGTTCCATTTATAACTTGTAAATTTGTGATTTTATTGAAACTTTGCCTTGGGTACAAAAATACCTAGTCTTGTCATTCATTATTGATAAACTGTGAATAGAAATATTCAAAGGAATAAAGAAACTTTAATTTTTATACGTGGAAGTAAACGGTTGGAAGTAGATTTCAGAAGACTCAGATCATGGAAACAATGTATTACTTGAGTTTGCCTGTATGAACCTTACCTAAAGGACCCATGTAGGTAGATGACATGAACAAACAATAACTATGATATCAGCTAATACCTATTTAATAATTTAAATAGTTTCAGTATTAAAATATGCCAAGTCAAAAAACAACTATTTTTGGTGTATTAAGAAGCAGCTTATGAGTATTATGTTAAAGTTTTATTATTATACATAAATATAAATACTGTAAGAAAATTCAGAATAATATCAGACCAATGGACTCTATTATTATATATGAGAGTGGCCATATTGCATGGGGTTGGGTAGGTTAAATTAATAAAATCAGCACTGGATGATTAATTCTGTGCAGACTTTTAAATTAACAGAACAGAAGAAGCTTCAGCTACAAATCATTACTGTGTGATATTCATTTTCATATATTGCACTGTTCTATTTATAGACAAACAATTTGTGCTTTGAGGTTATATAGTAGGTTTATCATGTTAAGTATTTTACCCTACTCTCTGCCAGGTTAAGCAGACAAAGCCTGTGTCATTAGTTTTATATACTTACCTTTATGATAATATATCAAACCAAGCATCTGATAGTGTTTAAAGTTTAGTAGTTCTAACTATGAGGAATTTATCACTGTGAATTTCTTTTATTACATAGAATTATTCCATGACAGATTGGTCTATAATGGTCATTGCTAGCAAAAATCATTCTTGTCAATTCCTTTCTTTGAACAAACTTTGAGTCTGACACCCACTGAGACCAACAATGTCTAAGGAGTCCAAATAATTTGGAAACTTTCCTTCTACTACTTCACAACCTGATGACACAAAGAGATCCAATTGCATAAACATTGTGTTTAGAAAAACTTATGAAAAAGCTTTAATTTCACTAACATAAAGAAACATGTGGTACATTAATTTCTTCCTTGATTTTGGTAGTAGATAAATTATTTGCTTGATGTCATATAAAATAAACTAAATGTTTATGGTTCACAGTAAGTTCAGACTTTAAAATTATGGTTCATTTTTACTTTAAAAGGTTTTATACTTGTACCACACTGAATATTACCATCATGTCTCATGATTTGTGAATTTGTAAAATTGATTTCTTAAAACTTATTAGGTAAAGTAATCATTGTGCAGAGAAGCTTTCAGAATAAAACATTAAATATAACTGGAAACATTACCAAATATAATTATAGTGCAGATTGTGGCTGTGGAGAATTTGTGATTATTTTAGGGATGTAATTTTGTCATTGTTGCACATCATAATTATTGATTTTACTATTTTAAAAAGATATTTGTACCATTAAAGACTACAACTTCATTATTCTCAACTACATAGAAGTATTTAGGACATAAAATTATTATAAGCTTTCAAAAGTAGTGTATCAAATTTAATTATGAGAGAAGAGGTATGTTAAGATGTATATTACCTTCACCAGCAGACTTTTGTGTACATTGTAATGAACCTTTGGGTTCTATAAAATTCAGAGAATTTCTTAAAGAGATGAGAGACTATTAGCTTCGCAAGGACTCTACCCTATACAATGAGTCCACTGGTTTAGTTGTTACTTTCATTGACCCAATCACTGATGCATAACTTCCTAAATTCTGGAATATTTGTAGACCAGTCTGATATTGTTGTTAAGGGACAATAAAATGTATCTTTAAACACAGAAATGAGGGATTGTTGCATGCTACTTACAATAAGAGGAAAGAATAGATGTGAGCTTGTAATGTAACAGCGCCAAGAAAACTTGGAATGAGGTTCTGCACAAGTGCAGTAAATATTCTATAGGAAAAATATCAGGCACTATGTACTTGCTTATTTGATTATTCACATACACCTGTAAGTTTGTTGTTAGTGCATTACTCTTTGTTGCAGTGGCATCAAGGTTCAGTGTTCCATGAGTTATTCCAATCATGCTGGATGTTCACAAGAAATGTGCTAGGATGGGACCAATGATTCCTAGTCTCATAGTATCACTAACTCTGTACCCTTTCCTGTCCCTCAAATCACATCTATTCCTTTCTCTCATAATCACTATTAGTGTACTGTAGTGTGACTCAACACAACATAAATAATAATGTTTCCAAGAACTAATATTCATAGATCAGGTGGTGGAGGATCACTTGTGTGGCGGTTGGGGTCAGGGGAAACATCTCCACAGCTACTGGAAATTGTGGGAACAATAGCTCTGTTGGTGGTAGCAGCATCCAGTGATGAAAGGTGACTGCTGTGAGAAGAAGCCTGACATGTAGAAGTACTTGCAGAGTTTCTCACCAAATTCCCCAAGCCCCTCATTAAGCTTGATGCAGATGACAATGTAAAACTTGACGCCCGACCTACTGGAGCAATACTTCCACTTGATGCACTACGATTCCTCACATGTTCACCCGAGTTCACTTTAGTTTTGAGAGATCTGTCAGGAGTTTCTTCCAGTGAGCGGGCAATGAGAAGTTGATGCCTTTTAGTAGTTGCTGACAAAAGACGATTCTTTATGAGACTTGTCCGATACAGAAGATTCTCTCCACCATTAGAAGATCTCTGTTTCAAATGACTTTGTTTATTTAACACTGATGAAAGTGATGGGGAACGGACTTCTGGTTTATGATGGCTAATTGGTTGAAGTGCCTGTTCATGTAAAAGACTGTCATCGGAGTCAAGACTGAGGGCTCGAGCAGCTGCTCTCACTTTACGGTCCTTAGCCACTAGAACTTGCTCCAGTATATTCAACTCAGAGGTAGTCAGGTTACTAAGATCACTTGAGCTGACAGCTGCTTTTAAGTCCCGCACTTCATTTTCCAAGCGACTTATATCTTCCCTCCTTTCCAGTTCACGAGCCAGCATCTGCACCTGCACACGCAAAATTAAAATTACTGTGCTTCTGAAAATCCATGTGCTGTCAAATGAACAGGTGTATTCAACCAGATCATTTAAAGAAATTCTGAAATTACAAATTAATCGATTAGAAGCAAAGCAAGCATTCCTGTTCAATTAAAATGATTTAACACTTAAAAAGTGGATCCCTTCTTTTCAACATTAAAAAGAATTCTGTATGAGAATTTTCACACTGTCCATACATACCTCCCAATCTTGGTTATGCCCAACACTGTGAAGATCATAGTCTGCAGCAAAGGCATCATCTTCATCAATACTCAAATCACTTGATGATGATGATGATGATGATGTGTCAGATGAGCCAAGATCTAAGGCAACACAGTCTTTTGGCATGCGCGTGACTTTTTGCTCCTGTTCTTCATCATACCACTCATGTTGTCGCCCGATTGAATGGGGCAGGTCCAACAACACAAAAGGTCCCTGCTCTGAATGATCCTCCCATGAGTGATGATATGTCTGCCTCTGTCGTAATGTGCTGTATGAAGCTGAGATTATGGACTGGTATGGTGCCTCATCCGCCACAAGCTGCTCTTGATTTACCACAATACCATCTTCATTTTCCTCTTCACAATCATCTGGTAATGCTGGTGGAGGAGACACTAGAATTGTGTCTACAGAGTCTCCTCTCTGTATATAAAAAAACATAAGAACTCCTAGAATAACAATCCAATTTGTAAAAATTATGCCTCAAAGTGAAATATTTTGGTGTACCCTACAACAACTGTTAATGAATTCAAAAACTAAACAACTTGCTGATGGCCAGACACTCACAGAGATCACCATATTATTATATTTGTTCATTACATGCTGTTTGACAAATAAAAATTACTAGAAGGAAACATCAAGCAGGGTTGTGAACACAACTGTATCTAAGGTGGTTATGATCGAATTCCATATCAACGGAATGGATACACAGATATTATTTGTATTTTGTCTGGATGTTATGCCAAATTAAATTTTATAGAAATAAATTATAATTTAAGTACCTGATAAACTTGTAATTTGTAGATTTATATGTGTATGCTGTTATTAAAGTCATCTGCAAATATTTTAGTGCTCAAATTTAATTTAATGGTAAAATTTAACAGTTACTAACCATAAATGGTTGATCTGATCCATCATCTGCATCTGATAAATCATCATCTTCATCTTCATGATTTTCTTCAGTAGATTCAGGATGCTGCAGAAAATAATGAACAGATTTGTGACAAACACAAATATAATTACAAGATTACATTTAATATTATAAATGTGAAAGAGGCAGATTGAAAGTAGGTTACCATTCCTCTTAAGACCTTCAGTCAAACAGTTCCTTTTGACAATATTACCATAGACTTATAGGCTAAGATTGCATGCCTGTGACCATGGCACATGAAACAGATTGACACACACCCTGAACTGGAAAAATATGTTTCCACAAAAGTAATGTAAAAATCACTTTTCATTTCACGTCTACAAATATACAATGATATGTAATGATTTTGTGACACTTTGATGTAATTTGTTAGAGAAAATATATAACATTTTTATTATCAAATAAAACAAAGGCTGTCACTGGTGCAGAAATGAGTGGTCATCATAGCAGGCTGTTATTGGCAGGGAATGATATGATTTAAATACTGGTCCAATACAGAAGTTTGAACCTACTGTTTCCTTTCACACCAATTTTAGTGTCAGAATCACAGAAATTTAGAAAAAAAATTATACTTATTTTGTGATTTTAAGGTTTTTCTTATCTACATAATCCACATAAGAAATATCAGTCAATTATGTAGCTAAACAATTATTTGATCTTAATTAAATACAAACCTCAAGTTCATGTATACGCTTTTGTAGCTGTGAGATAATTTCATCTCGCCTCTTCACTTCCAGTTCAAGGGACTGGAACTGGGATTGGAATTTATTCTGTACATCTTCCTGAAAGACAAACATTTAAGTTTGTATTATTTGATAACATATAATATGTTTATTACTTAAATGGATATTTATTTACTGTCGGTGTACTCACCAAGTGACCTTGGATAACCTGCTTGATACCCACAATGACTTCACTGAAATACTCTTCTTCAAGACTAGCATGTGATGGCAAGAGAAGTGAGGGACGGAAGAAATTCTTTTCATTTGCAGTCAAGGGCTTCTGGTGAGGATTCTGCACAAGAAAGGAGACCTGAGACTTCTTCTTTGCAGCTGACTCTATTGTGTCCTTTGGCAACTCAGACACATCAGCAGCTGGTGATACTCTTAAAGGTTCACTTGTATTGAAGAGCGGCATCACAGAGCTAATTGTTGATGATATGGTGGTTGGCGACACTAATGAAGGCAACGTTGTTAAGGCTACTGTCACTGGGGTTGAAGCTGGGGGAATTATTTCTTGTTGAGGAACATTTGTATTCAAATCTGTCGATGATGATGATGAGAGAGCAGTTGAAACTGTAGAAGAAGATGTGCTTATGCATGTGGATTGTACTGAAATTGTTGGTTGATCTTCTGTGGCAACAAGAAGAGGAAAGAGGCTTCCAGAAGCTTCTTGTGGAAACTTAGTTGGTGTTGTGGCTGTAGCTGGAGGTGACTGAAGTGTATCACGGTTAAATGTGACACTCTTAATTAGTTTACTATGACGAGCCGCATAACCTTCAATAGTTGGTGCCCTCATTAATTTTTGCATGTTCACATTTGATGATTTAGCAGTTGGTAGGTCTGTAGGTATTCCCTTCATTGCAGATATCTCAGACTTTTCACTAATTGAACTGCTTTCTTTGTCTTCTTCTGTACTTCCTGAAAAGAGAGAACTTGCTGACAGTTTCTTGAGAATGCTCTTCAAATTCCGTCGCTCCAAAGTCTCATTGCTTTCTGGGGATGTTAGTGACTGAGCTGCCTCAGTTGAAGGGTCTTGAGGAAGTTCTGTTGGTCGCTGGGGAAGAGTTGAAGTCGCCTCTTCTCCATCATCCTTCCAACCCATCTGTGAGGCAGTTCGGCCGAAAGGGTCCTTACTGTGCTGCTGGGATCTTACATACTGCATGGCACTGGCTTCTGAATGACTTCTTGTCAGATTCATTGGATCTAAAGAATTTTCTGCTGAGTCTCCACTCCCACCTGAAGCACATGATACAGCATTACTACTGTCCAAACTTGAACTACGCATCAATACATGAGCAACTTTTTGTTCTAACTCAGCCAACTTTTGGCGTTCATTAAGAATTTTCAGTTTCTTAACAAAAGGTAACCCAGAATATTCAGGAGAAAGGTCATCAATGGACATGTAGGACTTTGTATCTTTTTGCAAGCGAAGGAGGCTGGGCTTAGGCCGTCTTCTCTGCGGAGATGCTGCTGATGTTTCTGCTTGTGACAATACAGAAGGAACCATGACTCTTACCGGAGGTTGGTCTACTGTCTTCTCTGTTATTCCTACTGATGAAGCAGTCTCTATTGAATATTCAAAACTTGATTTCTTTTCTTCCTCACTGCAGTTTTCAGTAGTCTTTTCTTTCAGTTTGTTTTCTTCACCCTCTTTCTTATCCTCTTGAGCAAGTACTTGTGTTTCTTCATTCTTGAGCTTGTCTTGAACTTTGGGAACTTGTAAAATAGGAGACTGTTGACATTGGTCCTCACCATTAAGTTTTTCCACTTTTTGCTTAAATAAAGACACACTTTTACCACTACTTAATTCACTGACTTTTAAAGATGAAGGAAGTTTGGAAGGAATGGATTTACTACCATCATTATCACACACTGTTATCACTTTTGTGTCATTAGCAGAGGATGTTTGAACTGGAATCAGATTTGAACTCTGCTGCTCTTTGGACTGAGATGCTGAAATTCCACCAGGCTGTAATTTATTAGACGAAGATGAATGATCACGAATAATGGTGGACTTAGACACTGTCACAGCATAATCTTTAGAAGATTCATTTGAGTTTTGTGATGATAATATGGAAGCCTTTTTTAAAAGACTCCATGAATGCTGCTTCTTTAACACCGCTACTGAACTGCTACTACTGTCACTGTCACTTTTAGCACTCAGCTGATTCTGAGCTATTGAGGGAGAAATAACTGTTCCAGTTGATGATGAAGAAGAAGAAGGTGATGTACTATCTTTCTGTGTTAGCAGCTTCAATTTGTCACGGAGAAGTGGAACTTTAACAGTGGTAGTCATGCTGTGATCAGCACTACTTGAAGAACCAGAATCTGATTTTTGGTGAGGAGATACCCCACCACTTGAACCACCAAACTGTTTCACAATTGAAGCACTTGGAATGTCTTTATGCTTTATAGACACCAGCCTATTGAGAAGGGATGGTTTTCTACTTACTAGTGATGATTCATCATCTGACTGTTCTTTACTGGATGATGAATGTCTTGAATCATCACTAATACGTCCCTTTAGTTTCCTACCTGAAGGGGACACAATTGACTGCATTGATTTAGGGTCAACTTCCTGCTGTGTTTTCACTGTAGTTGCTAAAACATCTGCAGCAACAGTAGCAGTTGCCTGCATTGTGAGTCTTTCATGATCTTCTTTTTGTTTGAGCAAAAGAAGCCTCTGGATTAATGGCAATCCAGCACCAATCACTTCTTGTTCTTGTGGCTCCTGTTCTGGAGGCTGAAGTCTGAATGATGGTGGTGATAGTGTGTTTGGAGCAGGTGGAGGAGAAATTGGACTTAACAATGGTTTCCCCTTCTCCTCTCTGTCTTGTTTCTCCTTCAGCAGACGAAGGCGTTGAAGCAGAGGAAGACCTTCACCTAGCTTAGCTGTTGACACAGTGGGTGACTGATCTTCCAATGATTCCTCTCGTGAGTAGTTGTCATCACTGTGTACTCTGGACATTCTACGTAGAACGCCCTTTCCAGAGTGCCCTGCTGATGATGCATGCCTTGCGTTGACTGAGCCAGGGTTCAGTGGTTGAAGTTCCATTGACTCATCCTTCATTCTGCACACAATAACATTTATATCTGTTACTGTTTTATGTCAGATTCTTTCTAACAAATTGTGGTGTATTGGGCAAGTCTTATTTGCAATTTGAGCAAAAAAGATAGCAGTTTGATTTTGATTATATAAATAAATTTTTTGTGATTACTAAAATTATTTAATTTGTTTTATTTCAAACAAAATCCTGAATAAATCAGAGATTGAACAGAAAATTTCATATTTTTCTCTTTCCACCTAGATCATACCACAATGAAATAAAAGCCAGATTATTAAGCTCATCTAATCCCTACACAAAATAGAAGGATTTCTGCCTCATGTCTGATGCATTTCATATGATCATATTTTCAGTCTAGTAACATTCCATATTTTGCAGGTGGCCTAAAATTAATTCATTTTCCTGTACTAGACAAAGCATAAAACATATTTTAGCACTAAATCTTTACAAATCTTTAGAAAAATGCAAGTAACAAACATTCTTTATAAACTACTGGCATTACCTGGCTCCATGCCTGCTCTTACGCAAGACGTTCTTCAGACCTTTGACATCACTCCGAAGCTTCTCTACAATGCGTTTACCAGCCCTGCCATCCACGTCAGTGCCTGCCACACCATCCTTTACAGCAGGAGAGCCTGAAGCCTTTCTATCGTGGTGCCCTGAGGACTTGGTCCGTGATACTTCACGTGCATCCATCAGACGCTTGCGACCCAGACTCTGTAGGATTTCCTGGGCCTCTGGGTAGTCCTTCATAGCAGCTAGCACATCCTCACGAGACAGACTGAACAGCTCTGAGTACCCCACTGACCTTACATCTGCAGTGCGCCTGGAGTGGAACAATATTATCTTATATTATACAGTTTAACACCCATAAAGGAGATGAATCTAATTCCATGAAACAGGGATATCTTGAACAGTCAACAATAATTCAACTCATCAAGAAATTTCTCACTTTCTGTGGGGAAATTCAAGGTGCACTGCGATCTTTACAAAACCTCGCCGTCAGTTTCTGACTTTAGCCAGTGATTTCAGCCCACATACTACATTTATAAGATTCATTTTAATAACTTTCCTAAGTGGTTTATAACCTTCTGAATTTCTGATCACAATTTACTATGCATTCCTTCCATGTTTCAGTCATAACTTCACTGGCACAATTTAACATTTGTACTTGGTAAATGTTTTAATCCATTGATGATTGTTCATTATTTATTAGTCATATAAATATAAAGCGACAGCATGACAAACCTTTTCGTAATTTCAGATCAATTAGGAGTGGTTTATTATTTAGGTCTCAGAATATTTACTAAGTACAACTTAATTTTATTTTACTTTTCTTTATATGAAATGTTCTAAAGACACTGTTAACACTTCTACGAAACTATATTTTATGAACAATGAATTTTACGCTAGTAGACATTGTACAGTGGGTGAGTAAAGTATAAAACACAGAATAGCTTCCTATGTAGATGATAAGTATGCATAAAATTCTGTAGAGAATGTGGTTTAAAAGAACTGCATGTTGTATTGAGCACTTACTTATTTAGTCCATCCAAGTTCAGGATTCCAATTTCTCCAAAGAAGTCTCCAGCTTTCATTGTAGTCAAAACTCTACCAGTCTCACTGAGGAAGATGGACACAAATCAGTTGTAGCAACAAAATAAAATGAACTGGAAAATTTACATGTCATATCTATATGAATGATATATGGAAAAGATTTCCTGATATTCTGAACATGTGTTTTTAAATTAATTTTCCTAAGGAAAACTGATATTGTAGACTTGTTACGGATTATCAGTTACACTACAAACATAAGAGTTGTTGTTAAATTAATAATATTTTTAAATGGATGCAACAAACGATTATTACAAATGAAATGTATGTAAAATTGGTGATTCATAAGACCGAAGACTAAATGATGGGTGATGAACTATTATCTCTTATAGCCCTTCCATTTCTGAAAGTGAAATGCTCTTATAAGAAGAAATTAAAGTAAATTCAGCAGCTTTTAGTCTCAGTGAGTCCAGCTGACTGTTCTTGAGCGACCAATGTCTTAAGAATTATTCAGCTTAAACTGCAACTTTGTCGAGTAATAGAAAACATTTTTGTCCTAATTAAAAATTCAATAAATTTGGGATGCTGAACAGTTGGCAACACAGTATCCAGTTGAATATTACCTTATAACCTCCAGGATACCATCAGCGATAATGAACATTTCTCGAGCAACTTCCCCCTTCCGACAAATCAGATCTCCAGGAGTGAAAATATAGGCTTTCATCTTGAGCACCAAGTCATGAAGGAACTCTGGCTGACACTCTTGGAAGATGGTAACCTGAAATGCGCAATAAACCAAACAAATTCATTCTTACTTTAATTTAAATGTTATATAACTCTGGAACATTTAATATTTCTCCAGTTTTTTTCTGAAATAGCAGAAAATGTTGCAATTTCTGTACCTGTAATGTATATATAATTTAAACATTCTGAAATACTAACCTTCTTAAGGACACTGAGATTAACATGTAATGCCAGTTCAGTCTTCAGTTTATCAGGCAGTAGGCCCAGAGCTGTGTTGATGTCACCACCTCCTTGGATACGACCCCTTTAAAATGAAAAGATACAAATACTGACAAATTCAGACTAATCAGTTTCGAGACAATGACATTCTTCTGGCTTGTGGCGCTGTGTGGACTCATGGGTAGAAACTAACATTTCAGAGAAATGTACACAAATCTCACAAAGTTAGTTTCAAGCTTAAAGGGGCCCATCCACGTACGAGTCTGGCTTGCGAGTCCGGCTCGGCTCGGGTTCCATTGAGCCAAACTCGTTTGTGGGTGGGGTGTCACGAGCCGAGTCTGCTATACATGTGTGGTGAAATATATCCGAGCCCGGCTCACGAGTCAACTCGCCGAGCCAGACACGTACGTGGATGAGCCGCTTTCCACATATGATTCTGAGATTTGTAGCACTGTTTCAGTATTCATTCTTCCAATTTCACAGGCCCTAAAACAATGAAAAATATGTAATAATAACAACAAGAACAATAGCGACATTGCAGGTAATTTTATTTACCAATGGCAATTGCACTGTTCATAGCTTCACCCAAAATTCAAGCAAAACATTATATAGAACGAAATTCCAGTTAGTTATGGACATATCAGAAACCAATTTTGTCATAATTCCTGGCATTTTGATTAATGTACTGTCACCAATTTTAGTGTTCATTTCTGCCAAAAGAATGCACCACAGGCTTGAGAGGGAACAAATGATCAAGATGAATACCTCCATTATTCCGGAAGTTATCACTCCGAAATAATTTTGTTGTCCATAACTAAATTCCTTACAGTGTTGTACGTCAACTGTAGCTGCCTGTGTAATTTTTTCAGAAAAAACGTAATTTGTAATTTATTATAATCTTTATCCAGATACATTGCTTAATTAAAATTCATATTTGGTCCCCAATTTATTAAATGACAGAATAAATTTGTCATGAATCCTAGTTAATTTGAAAGTAGTTCTTTGCACTACTTTTCTGTAGGATGAAAGATGTTGGTGATTTGAGGCTAAATTAAAAAACGTGAACATATTTTCAAGACTTACATTAATATTTTCAATTAAAGGCACTGTCACCACCAAAAAGAAACACTGGTAGTTTGCCCAAGTAAATGAATCGATCGAATGAAAGCCTATGTGTGGACTTATGTATCCCTGTCCCCAGGAAGAGTTAACACTGAAGCTTACCTGGACCACGAGTAGTCATACCATCGAAGAACCCTTCTCTTCATACCCCCAGGAACCTTGTGGTGGCGCATGTAAGTCTTGGCGCCATCTAGAAGCCGCTCGAACTCCAGACGGTTTGCATTACGGTTTGTAATTACGTTTCCTACTTGCCCTGAAAAAAGACGTTTATCATGTTTTAAGAAGGGACAGTCAGAAGGCTGTTTCAATCTTGATAAAATATGTCATACCTCTACAGAATCTTACAAAAGTACAATTGTTCCATAACAAATTGTAAATGTTTATAAATATTTTCTTTTCTATTGTCACGTTTTTTGTTACCAATTGTGATCAAGAGAAAAAGTTAGCGTACTTTTAAATGAATACATAAGCTATGTTAGATGGGACATTCTTTAAAAAAAGAGATGAAAGTACCTGATCGACATAAATTGATATGGTAACGGAGAAACCAAGGACCACATAACGACCGCTGCTTGTACATGTGATTCCCTTGCATGTGTGAAGAGATGTTAGAACTATATTTTAGTTTTTTCTGCGGGGTTTGTGTCGAAATGTGCGGGCTCTGCTACAAAGTCGTGTGCAGTGTTATTACTGTATAAATTAAAACTGGGTTTATTTTACAGTAACTGACGCAGAAATTCACGGCTACACTGAAAACAGGTAAAGCTAATGCTATAAACGAAATTCGTTTCATATCCTACCACAGCATCAAGCGATAAAAATGAGGTAGAGTTGTTCTCATATACCACTACTGCACTGATGTGCTGTGTAACTTCACGCTCCGGCCGATTTGACTGTCTGGGTAAAAGATTCATCTCCCAATGACACGCAATACAACAGAAATTTTTGTTTTAAGAATTAACATTATCGATCACAGTGACCGAAGAGTCTGAGGCGTGGGATCTGATCTCTCGAACTCTGTGAATGTGGGTTCAATTCCAGCTTGAAGTGTGCGTATTTGTCCGCGTCTTGTTGCGACGGGGAGATCACCGACCAAGGAGTCCTGCCAAATGCCTAAAGAGATTAATAATTTCAGATGCATTTCTGAATCTCAACAGGCCATAAGCAATACCTAGGCGCTGAAGAATAATATTAAAAGAGTGCATGTATGCTTTGGAGTGTCTTTTACGAACCAGGAAGAGGCAATCTGCTAAGACAGGAAAAGTATACTCGCTTGTAATCGTTCGTAAATTCCTATAGATAATCACAAGTCGCAGGAGGGTAATAAATATACACATTAATGACACTAAGAGTTTACCAAAAGAAATACATTCAAAACAAGAAACTGCAAAATAACCAATTACATCGGGCAGAGTTCTTCTTAAGGAGCTAATAGTCGCTCAGGTAGTCAATAAATTTCCAGTCTCTTATAGACTCCTAATTTTAATTATCTTATCCACAAAATTCCACCACTGTTCCGTATCCTAAGCCACATGAATGTAGCCCACACCTCCCCACTCTGTTTCGTTAACTTAATTTTAATACTACCCTTCCATCTACACCTAGGTCTTCCAAGTGAACTCTTCCCTTCAAGACATTTGACCGAAATTTTTCATTGAAATGTCACCCCTCCCATGTGTGCTGAATATCCAATACAGCTCACTGTTCTTGTTTTTATCACCCTAATGTCAAATTTGTGTCGGTTTAAGACCGAATGTCGTTAGAAATGCACACAGATGTTACGGAGAAGCTACAGGCAACACGTCTGGACGACACCATAGGGAGACACAGTGTAGAATAACAATTGGAATAACAGAGGGAGACGAAGAAGAAGGCTGACGGCTCGTTCGTAATGGAAAAGCAACAGGCTTTTAACCTAATGCTTGAAGAACAAGAAGACTACAAAAAAACTGCAAAATAAATTCTTGTGTCCACCACTCAAAGAAAATCGGGTAACAAAAAAAACTACCAGAACGACTGTGTCAATACAAGCCAAAACAATAAAATATTATATGGGAAAATGTGTATAAGGCGAAAAAGACCAATTCTTAACATAAACTAACGCACCTCAGTACATCAGCAATAGGCAGTCACGAAGATCTGTCAGTTCCGTCTATCTAGACCACGTCAAAGCACGAATTGAATTTTGACTCAAAACTAGCTCACGTTTAAACTAGGAGGACTGACGCTCAGCAGGCCAGTGGTGGCTGAATGAGAAGGCCAAGTCGACAAAATGATCAGTATCCAACATTTTCGGTTTTCCTCAAGTTTCTTTAGTTGTAAGGTAAAAGTATTGGTACAATTGAAAAGGAGAATGGTTCACTTTTCCCAATCTTCAGCCAAATCAATTTCAATTTCCCAGCCGCAGAGACCTTCAGCTAATGCGATTCCAAATTTCCCGGGTTCCCAAATAACAAACTGCCCGATGGTAGCATCCTCTCGCCAGCAACGAGATTCCTTATGATATAAACACGACAAGACAACCTCACGCTCTGTGAAGTTACGCACTAACTATAAATGGTTGTGTTCAACTAAATGTACAAAATGGCATGAATCTGAATCATTCGAAGTTGCAAAACGCCATTTCCTGTGAACTGACTTACCTACAATTGTTGCGAAGATGAACACGCCGATCAAGTAACTGGCGATGGTAAACACGTACCTGAAATCGATCAAGGAAATACAAATTTAATTACGATACAGGTTTGTTCACCATCTCTCGCTCTAGTACTTTTATTTGAAAACAAAGAAGAAAACTGGAAAAACACAGACGTGAAAGAGCATTGGTGTCTATATATGGTTCTCCCGTATCAGATGCTACAAAAACACCAAGGAATTATTTAATGGACTAGAAACTCGAACAGTAAATGTAATCAGGGTTAAAACAAATCGAAGAAGTACACACGGTTAATAGCATATCTACAAGAAATACAGTTGTTTGGTTACTTCAAGAGGAAGTGGTAAACGTATTAAATACCATTTTGAAGACTGCAGGTCATACGTTAATGAAACGAGAACGATTACAACATTCAGAAATATTGGGATTTTGTCTGAATTTAATATTTCGAAAAAAAATCCTATAAAATTCAGAAATATTACTTGTTACAGGATTTTGTTTCTCATGGAACGCGTGGCTGTTTTAAATAAAATAAAATTATTCGTATTTTTACTTTTCTCCAAATATTTCTCGCATTCTTAGATCTTTGCATATCACAAAAGATCAGCCATGACGGTCAAATTATTTCGTTGTAACTAGATACCCATGGGTGTTTAACGTAATTGACTATACTATCAATTAATTAATTTTACTTTAGACCGAAATTTTGTCTTTTTTATTGTAAATCGATGATGTTTCGAGTCAGTTCTTATCCTCTACCGGTAGCATAAATTTGTCTTCAGCTATTTAAAAATTAAAGAACTTAACTAATAAAATATAACAATTAATATTTTACTTTTAATTGGTAAGTGGAATTTTGAATCTAACACAAGTGCATTCAGTCGCACGTTGCACACACAACATCTATTTAAACTGGTTAGAAAATAATATTCATAACCGAGTTTTGTCTAAATACCTCGCACAGGCACTAAACTAACTAGATTACTTTAAAACCGACTTCTCCAAAGATAATCATTTAACAACCGTAGGACAACAAATTGAACGTAAAGTAGTCACAAGTTCATGGGATTATTAATTTTATAAAATTTAAACATCTCATGACTATCTAATCACGAAGTGCTGTCGAAGTTTGGTAATGAAATGTGTTTTAAATTAAAAATAACTTCATTTTAATATGCCTTGTAATTAAAAGTAATAAAATGCATAGGTGAAAATTAATCCAACATCTAGAGCTGTGACACACAAGGAATTTGAGCCGGAAGGAAATCAAACAATGGAACTGTAACGTGAATTTAAATCAGGCATTAAAAGTACCCTTTCTGTGTGTGATAATGACTTGTGTACTTTAATAGGCCATTAGACACAACTAAAATAACTTAAGGAAAACAAAGCTAAGCATCGCCATAAAAATTAAAAGTAAAGCGATGGAAGTTTTAAAAGGAAGTACAGAATGCAATTTCACACATAGTATATGGGTGGACGTTACATATAGAAATACCATACAATATATACAAAACATAAATTTTATAAAACTATTGTGAGAGATGCTGCAACAATTCAGGGATATGTTAGTAAATCAGTTACTGATTTTTATATATATATATATATATATATATATATATATAAAAAAATTCTCAAACTATTTATGTAAAATAATTCGAAGAATATTTTTCAATAATCACAAATATAACAAACTCACGACAAGAAGAACCAGAAGAATCTACATTTCATTACGATTTATTTAAATAATATGGTTTCAGTTTTAACTCAGTGGAAGCAACGCAGAACCTGCACAGTGTTAAGCAACTTCAATCTCCAAACATATTGCAAATGAGGAAAACACTTTAATGTGATACATACAAACTAGATGTAAGCATTTATTATAATTAAATGATCAATTATAACAATTTTGGACACCGTCAATTGTCTGGTTTACAACTGATAAACAGACTATGAAGACGTGGTTCTTAATTAATATTCAGATGTCTGGTTGTCATCATATCAACAAATTTTATTTTAATATTTGTGGCGACGGATAAGCTTGATCCAAATGTACTGTACATAAAATATATTTACCAGACAATAAAATGTGCCCAACATTCAACATAATACTGGTATAATGACTCAAAACTGCAACAGATTTTTAAAGAACCATGAGTGGGATTCCTATGACTGACGACGGATTGCGAAAATGTCGAAAGAAAGGAAAAGTTGAATATGTTTCATTTATTGTCACGTAACAAATGAAATATGTTAGGATCAGAGAAGTAAAATTAAAAGGGCGTTAATTCTTTGTTCTCTATATCATTTGTTTTATGAATAGGAACTATGAGTGACGAGTATATACAAGGCTCCTGTATGATACTTCATCCGTCTAACGTGAAATTTCCGCTTCAAATTACACTCAAATTTAAACCATCAGTTTCTGAGAACGACTGCAAGTTCACCAAGTCTCTCGTATTTTGTCTATGAGAACATAATATTTTAATATTTTCCGTGAAATCACAATTTTTAATAAGATAATAAAATATAAAATATTTAAAATATCATTTCACGTCCTGAGGACGGTTAAATATAACCGAAACATGTCGTAAGAGACGTTCCAATTTGTAAATCGATCATTCGATGCGGAACGTGAAATGATATTTTAAATATTTTATATTTTATTATCTTATTAAAATTGTGATTTGACGGAAAATATTAAAATATTAACCTAATTCACAATATGACGCAAATATACTACCTTACAAGGCTTTTAATACAAAATAATTATCAAAATCGCTCCTCGCAATTTCAAAGATGCATAAGAATTCTAACACTCATACTCTGAGTTATTTCTGAAAGGCATGCAATCCAGTAAAATTATAAAGAATAGTGTTATTTTTATTCATTTAATTTTGTAGCTGCAAAATTCTGTACAGTGGTTTCATTACCGATCACTTTAATGGTTTACATTGTACAGGTATTTAAAGAATTTTAATACATTTAAATGTAAAAACATTTAGGATTAAACATGTCGTCAACAGTTTTTGAGGGTTTCCTGCAAAACCTCAACACTAGGTATATTCTTGTTTTTCATAAATGTTGTTTCGTCTCTTACAATCTGTTATCACATAGTTTGAGAATTTCATGCAATTGTATTTAAGGCGTAATTTGTAACAGCTAAAGATACACAAAGTTTTCGAACAGTAACTGCGACCAAAATAGGATTGAAGGCTGTTCGAAAACTTTGGCTTTCCGTCAAATACAAGTCGTTAATTATCTTCAATCCCAGTTTCATAAACCATTCTATTAAATCAGAAAAAAACCATGAATGCACATAACACTCGATAGGTTTTCCAGACATAAAAGTGTTTTATTAAACGAGCAATTCGTCGAACAGCCTCCAAAACTCTGCATATTTGTATTTTCCTTTTAAATTTAAGCACAACTATTGTTTGTTTCATCTTAAAATTTAAAAAGAAAATGCTTCGAGCCATGACACGTCACTCGTTCCTTTCTAGATACGCCATATAACACTTCGATAAGTAATGAAGTAATGATCCAGAACTTCGTCGTACTGTGTAAATAAAGCCATCGTATCAGAAGCACAGAGCTACTCTCTAGAAACCGTACTTTTATCGTAACCCACTAAAAAAATAGAGAAATTCAAATTCTTAATAATTCTGTGATCGATATATATATATTGGCGTGACTTACCGCTCTTTATACGTATAGATGGTCCTCTGATTGGTTTGAGTTCACAAAATTAGGATCAATTATTGCAACATATGAGAAACCTCAGTGATCTACTAGATAAATGAAGAATCTTCAACTTCATAATTACGCCCAGCACCAGCTGACACATAAAGTCTACTTAAGCAATCAGGTGTAAAATACAAATTCGCTTCTGTTTTTGTACGTAAAGCAAGTTTTACCTTTGCTTAAGGGAAATTAAAAAGAAAGGTAAGATATGATCATACTACCAGATCACTGGTAGAATGTGCCACAAAAATTGTGACGTACTGAAGACAGGGTGTTCAGGATTCGTTTTAGAGTGAATGTATGTAGACGAGATAATTCTGAAACTAAAAAGGTATCAAAACTAAGACTAGACTTTCAACTGCAAGTCGCATTCTCCCGTTCGTGGTATACGGTGACTGCAATATTTAGGAATGTCTGAAGACGTGACAAAATCAGATCCAGTTCTCGGTGATCAGATATAATTTAAAGCAATAAAAACTTAGGCTCTTGGTTCAAATCATTTCTTGTATAAAATATCTCTAAAATTATAAATATCAATTCCTGGGAATCTTGTAAAATAAACGAACGTATTTGAACGATTTTTAGAGACTAGCTCCATAACCTTACAAAAAAAAATGTAACTGGACCATTTTAAACCCATTTGGATGTAACTGTTACTGTTCGAAGCTATCCAGATTTGTTTTAACTGTGGAATGTTGATTTTGATTTCCTCTCAAGACGTATACAAACCCGCGATTTGAGGAAAATTGAAGGAGTCGGGATTTGTGACTTTGCCTCGGGCGAGCAGGAAGGCCGTCCAACGAACTGCTTGTTAAGGGAGAAGTAGTAGAAGGAGCAGCAGAAGTAGAAGAAGAAGCTGTTGTTAGCGAACTGGACACAGAAACACACAGAAATTATCAAGTATGTTTGTCAATGTATCAACACTATTCAATGCTTAAATATTTTATGTTGCATGATAGAGAAATTAATGCACACCTATTGATGTTATTTATACAACTAATTCGTCATGCAACAGGGAGACTGTAAGCGACTACAAATATCCGTGCCATTCTGCAGCGCAAACAGAGTGAGTGACAGCTTTGTCAGTATGTCAGGAAGGGTCACAGAATATTCTTGCACACTTGACAAAAATCAAGAAGTATTACATTTTAAATTAAATATGTACATGCTTTACAAGTACTTAGGTCTAATCGAAAAATGCGTAATATTATTTCAACAAAAGTCAACTGCTTATTTGTGCAATGTATTGTTTCTTAAAACTGCTCACGCTAGACAGTCAAAAACACCTAAAAATGTTGAATTTCAAACCCAACCTGATTCTAGCATGTCGATTAACAAACCCTCTCACCCATGAATAGTCTTTTATTAACTTATTTAAAGAATTGAACATATTACGAAAGCAGCCAGAAATCCAGATTTAACATCGCGTTGGAGGAATCTTATACGAACTGTTAATTTCACACGACTATGGACCATTCCAGCATTACGCAAACGGACTAACCAGGAAGTATCCCATATTCCACTTTAAACCACAAGAAAATTGAAAACACAGATGTAATATTTCGGGACTCAGGTTTACGACCGTAGGAAGTGGGAAACGCAGAGGAAATATCGGAAAATTGTGCCTGGCTTGCATTCCTTATACAGTTTACCCAGAAAACTACTTCTGAGTCCACACATACATAAACATGTTGATCGCATAAAAGACGTTGATTTCAAGGTCTAGATCTTTTAAAGTATTCTTCTTAAGATTTACTGTTTCGCGATGTAAATATTCCCTGTATATATTATGCAAATGTTTCTTCGCACATGGAATATAAATGTGTCAGTTAATTTTCGCATATTCTGCAAGCTCCGTGAGCAAAAATTTACAATACTGTCTTCTGAAATAAGCCGTGTCTTCAAACGTTATCACAGCCGGATCATAAAGAACACTTATCACATTTCATATTTGAATTACAAATGAAGTTGGGTTTGTAACCTCACATATTCAAAAGCTTACGCGTGGCTGAGAGAATAATATTAAAACAGATATTAAAGAAGTAGGGTTGGAAAATATGGATTGGATTCATCTGGCTCTGGATAGGGTAGGACATCCTTAACTGGGTGATCACCGACTTCTCAAGAATGAATCTGTTCCGTGGTTTCACTTGGTCCATTACGTAGTTGCAACTTCATGCCGTTAAATGTTGCGAAGACGTACAATTGCACTAAAGTCCTTTTTCAGCGCAGGCAGACAACTTCGTCAATTGCAGACCCTACTTCGATATATTCAGCAGAATAATCGAGTCGGTTATTATTTTACGCCACGAGGGCGGTCGTTTCAATTTTGATCCGTAAAAAAGTAACAACTGGTTATGGCATAACTAATTTTGCATTGGAGTTATTACCGACCATCATCAAAAGCAGTGAAGACCTGACCACATTAATTTAGTTACGATAGAAAATTACTTCGCTTTCATAAGTCTCTTAGCATTGCTTTCTACAAGTATAAATGCCACTTGGATGTGATGTAATTCCACGTTCCTAGACGCTCATTCGTGTCCCCGATGAATTGAAACACGTCCCTTGGATGCAGCTGTAAGATATGTGACAATGGTTTAGTATCATGACGCAACGATGTTCCCTGGACGTTGTCTATTGTCTGGAGCGGAGATTAAGCCCAGGAAGTTTCTGAGGCTTCAGGTAAAACACAAGAAGGCTAGGAAGTAGATGCAGTATTTACTCGGGTGGGTTAAACAAGGCTAGTACTCGGTGCTCGAAAATTAATTGTTCTGGGTTATAATAATATAACATATACGTATGCTGTAAATTCAGACATTATATAAAATGCGTGTCCATTTTACGTAAAATACGAAGGCAGAGTGCGCAGATATAATACTCTATAATTAGCCTGTTTTTTAAAGGAAGGTCTGCCATTAAACTAATAAATATTCTTAGATGTTATGATTAGTTCACTTATTAAAATCACACAAAGGTTTGGAAACTCAATCTGCTCCCATCATCAGGTTTAACTATAAAATGTAATATGTTCGGTTCTTCGGATAAAGCTAATGTCAGTCCCCGGACTAAATTTTAATCATTGGAGCTAACAGAGTAGATTTTATATTTTAACCTGATAATGGTTGCAAAGTCAGGTTCCGAAACGTTGAACGTCTTTCAAATAATTTACAAATGATAATGTTCAAGAATATGTATCAGTTAAGTGACACATCTCCCTTAAAAACTTCAGAGTAATCATGCCGTTTTATCGCTAGCCCCACAATAACTGCGTACTCCATTAATTGAAAGTACAAAATATTGGATACTATTTACACAACTTATTATGCATATTTTTTTATTTGTAGTGTGCTGTCTGACGACAGGTCCATATATTATGAACAGGATCCTTCCAACCTCTTCAGGTTGTCAGGGACCTGCTCATACACATATACATTCTTGGCAGAGATGATCAGAAGTGGTTTGCCATTGCCTTCTTCTGTGTGTGAGTGGAGTAATTGTTGGGATACCACGGAGAAACCGGGGAAGCCCCCGGAGGAAAACTCCGTGATGCCTAGACCACGGCCTTGCCCAACACAAGTTATAAATTTGAGCACCACCAAGAATTGAACCCGGGACCCCAGGCTTACAAGGCTAGTGTTCTGACCGCTAGACCACCGTAAGGTATCACTTATTAATTTATTTTATATATAATTTTAGATGGCAGGTTTAACATCTATCCAAATTTATTAAAAAGTGAACCTTATATGAGATAGTTATCATTCTTAACACTGGACATTTATAATCCATAGGTCTATATGGAACTGTGAGATAAATTGAAAATGTATACAAAACATATTACATATTAAGACACATATTACTAACATTGTTATTATTAATAGTAGCAGTAGAACAAACAATAATTTAATTACATATTTAAACAACTAATGAAAGAACGTTAATTACGAGCAATTTTAATCAGTCTGAATAATGAAAAGTTCATTTAATTCAGTGCTATAACGATTTTACATTTAACTCTGAACACGAACGGCTTTATTCCACCAACAGCAGCACGACTCGCGCATTCATCGTATAACAATGACCTACGCACCTTCATTAAGCGTTACGCAACTGGCGGCCCGAGGGCCATATTAGGCACGAGACAATTTGTAAATGCGCCTGCAAAATTATATGTTAAGTTGTTACTATGTAATAAAAAATCTTTTTTATCTGAAGGATTTGAAAAGATGACGTCAGATACAAGCTGTTGCTAAAGCAAATTTAAAATAATAAATAAAAAGTTTTGTGTATTACAATGAAATTTATATTTCAGAATATATTGTAGTGTTTTGGACATTTCTGAATAACTGCTGTTAAAGATTATGAAAACTGGCCATTAGTTTTATAGTAGTACCAGGAGGAACTTCGTTCCCTCTGGTCAATTCTTGGCCCGTGGAGAGTAAAGAGTTAGACTACCTTGCCTTAAGTGTTACGAAGGCAAATACAATTTTTCGTAGTTTAAAGTTACAACCTAAATTGCGCTACTGTGAATTTCTGTTACAAGTAGCTGCATACCAATGTAAACAAAGTTTAATAAAGGGCAATTCAGAAGTCTGTGATCGCGTAGCAGAGCTTTCAAACCAACCCCCGATATAAAATCGTGCATGAGCTGCTACAGGCGACAATTATTATGAATAGCCCAATGCACTGAAAAAGGGTAATTCACAGACTGTAATCTATGTTCTACACGCACGTATACTAGCCGTATGAGTACGCTTCATAACATACAAACCTATTGCAAATGGGCGAGTAAAACCGATATGCATTCGTTAAATATACTGTTTGTGCAAAAGTGAAAGAGTCCAACTCTGCTGGGTTAGTGGCACTGAATCGGTTTTTATATGATGACATCTGAAACAAGCTAGAGGAATTAGTTGCCAGATGTAGCAAGCCAAAGAAATCACAAATGTATACAGAATTTTTGTCGGAATATCCGCGAAGGTAACAGACCAGTTAGGAAACCTCAGCACAGATACGATAATAATATTGAAACGTATATTAGAAAAACAGGGTTTGAAGACGTTGACTACATTCAGATAGCTCAGTGTACGATCTAATGGCGAACGTTTGTAAAGCTCTAGGTTCCATAAAAGATGGAGAAGTTCTTGTTCAGCTGAGCGACTATCCCTTTCTGACTTAGAACTGTAATCACAAAAAGCTAATTATTTCAAAAATTGGAACACTGTAGGTCTGGAATAACTAGGAAGTTGTTTAAACTCTAATGCCGATTTGATGTCACCGCGTCAGTTTTAAAAAGTGTGTGTGTGTGTGGAGACGTAGCGTTCATTGATAGGGCACGCAGGTTGGAATTTTAATGGACCGGCTGGGTGTGACTAATGCATGTCCCACGAAGACAAACTGAACGCTATCAGAATACAGGGCACGGTTCCAGAGGCCAGCATCATGCAAAAATCAATGCAAAGCGACCACATCCCTCTACACTCCACTCATGAAGGCGTGAGAGGGAGTGGAGGCAAGACTCCACAAATTCTCAAATCGCAAAAAGGACTTTAGTATCGTTAGTACGTTATTTAAATGCGTTATATGTAATGTACGTTGTGTTGATTTAAATGATTTCGTTATATGAACAGTGAATGCAGGGTATCAGAGGTCATGGCCTATTTTAAGATGCTACTTCGGCAGTATTCTGCGTGGAGTGAAACGCTGGTAAACTTCTACCAGACTACGCGGCGCTACAACCCAGAAGACAGCCACATTCTGGAGCTTAAATGTGTGCAATTTTCTGGACTTTCAGATGAAATATATAAAGAAGTGACGGGAGAGTAAGAGATTGAAAGAGAGAACTAAGTATTCGAATCAGAGGATTGAAA